TCATTAGCACCTCTAGTGACATTTACTGAGAAAAATGTTGACGTGTTCAATATTTATTTTACCCACTGTAAGTTGAGTTGTAAGTTGTTGACTGTGATCGATCTAGTTTAAATCATTACTTATATGTTTTTCTTATATCATCTGCTGTTTTACATGATTGTTGAATGAAATTAATACATTTTGAGCTTTGTAGCAGCATCATATGAATGGCAGCATTTTACACATAGTCCACCAGGGGGCGTGTTCAATACTTATTTTACCSGCTGTATTGTTAATATGTCATCTGGTGGATAAGTGATGTATGAATAAAATGAGTGTCAGCTTTCACCCTCAGCTGTTAACATTAATGTTGATCAATAACATCTATAGGCCTCAGTTAGTGCTTCTAAATTTAACCTATAAATTTAGCAAGTGCTAATCCACTAATAAATTTTAAAATTAGCAAAAGTCCTAAAGCACTAATCAGGAAATTAGTTCCCCTATTAGTGCTTTAGGGGAACTGTGCTCATCACTGGGTATGAATGTATGGAAACTGGCAGTGAGATTTAGAGAACTGCACGCCTGAAATGTTGTCCAGGACCGTCCGTGTGAGATTAAAAAAAAAAAAAAAAAACACTGAATGCCTGTAGTTATGGGTGGATAATTAAATGGTTTATTTCCAGCCTGAGGCTCTTCTCTGCAGGTTAATCCAGGCTCGACCCAAACCCATTTAGTTGTTTTACATCCAGTCATCAGTAAAACAAACTGTACCTGACTGCATGTTTAATACTCAACGTTATTGTTTTGGTACAGATTACACAGTCTGAGGTTTTTATTTTAAGCAACAACAACCATTAAAAACCAAAAAGCTTTTAATTTTCTTTGTAATGGAAAAGATGAAAAACAAAGGGCAGGTTTTGGTAATAAGACATCTTTATTAATCATTTGAAGAGACATGCTAGAGCTCTGTACAGAGTGAATGAACCAGGTCTGCTGCTCCGAGAGGTGACTGTAAACACACACACACACACACACACACACACACACACACACACACACACACACTGGGGCCGGCTCAGACCCTCCGACCCCACCCTCCAACAGCTTTCAGCATCACTTGGTCCATTTTGATGGAGTGTTAAAATGGGCCAGCAGGTGGGTTAAAACACGCCTCAACGTTTCCTCCGTGCAGGATGTGTGAGGAGAGCAGGATGTTCTGGTTCTGGGACAACAGAGCAGCGCAGCTTTTGTTTTTATATTTCCTCCACATGTCAGAGGAACCAAACCTGACCCTGTCTCTGTTCATTATTTGGCTCTTTAAGTTAGAAGCAGTTTGTTTGTTTTTTACCAGCGTGCTCCTCACGCGTCATCATTTCCTACAGTTTCTACTCTAACACTCCACACTTTGTTTTACTCACACCGTCGCTCTAAATCTAGAACACGCTCTTGAAAAGTGCAGTAAAGATTTCTCACCGRAAACAAATCAAAAAGTAGTGTTCTTAACGCCGACTGACCGCACCTGCAAAACCTTCCCAAACTCTGAAGGGGGGGAACAAAAAGCAAAGTTCCAGCATTAAGAGTCAGTTCAAACYCGAGCAAACAAATAAAAATGTACAAACAAAGTGGAAACGAGTTACGCAACAAATCTTTAACAATCAGACGTGTCTTTGAATTATTATACAATAATAATAATGAAGCGTCTCTCAACTTCATACCAACCTGAAAGCTCTAAATACATGTGCAAATTAGTCTTTAGTCAGGATGAAACAGGTTAAAGAGGCATTTCAGACATTCTGAAGTGGTATTTTGTGCAGATGCTATGAACAGTTAACATCTAACCTGCTGTAGATAACGAACGATGCAACTGCATAAATAAGCTGTGAAATATGAAACATTGGTGTTTTAATACTGGAGTGATCCCCTGCAGTTTAGACTAACGGTTGTTCAAGCATCTATCCACAGCAGGTAAGATATTAACTCCTCAGAACACCACTTCAAAGCGTGTGGATCCGCCCTTCAGAGGTCTGTATGATTAGTCAGCAGGTCAATCAGGGAAGTGTGTTTCTGTGGGACATAAAGCCAGGGTTCTGACTCACTTCCAGCTGTATGTGCAGCTTATTAAACACACCATTTATCRCACAAGCAGCTGTACAAAGTTTACGCCAAACTCTGAAAACAAAACAAAAAAACAGAGGTGCGATGTGAGGATGCAGCGAAGTGGCAGTGGCCCTCAGTGGAACGTCGTCTGTACACAAAGCACAAGTTCACACACACAAAACGGTGCTCTGAATACAAATCCATTTAAAAAAAACTGGACAATGCATCAAACCACTTGTGTAATATTACCAATGACATGTTTATCTAACAGGTGTACACAAGTAGACCGTACCTATGCTGTACAAGTAGGCATGCATTAGCTGAGTTAGCCCCGCGGCGTCAGAAACACAGATGTACGACAGCAGCTGGGCTGCAGGCAGGAACGCTGTGATTGGCTGCCAGAGTTTAACTGAAGTCTTCTTTGTATCCTTCACACATAAAAAAACAAAAACACCTTTCCAGAGGGGTTTTCCTGAAAAAAGAAACAAACGAAGCTTTCCCTACATACAAAAGAAATTTGTTCTGTTAGTTGTTTCCTTTAACGAGCTTCTTGTTTTTATGTTTTGTTTTTTTTGGCAGTTTTTCCACATATTGCTAACTCCAACCAATGAGTTGGGTGAGGAAACCAAGATGTCAACGTGCAAAGTCAACAGCAGGTTAAACCAACAGGAAGCAACATAACAAGCGTGTGACGTGTGGATGACCAGTGGGCGGGCGGGCGGTGGGCATTAACAGGAGCAGCCGCTCTCGGTGGTCTGCGGCTCCTGCGGTTTGTCCAACTTGATGTCGATCACTGGAGAGCAGCGTTAAGGAAGAGATGGGAGGAAAAGTCTGAATCATGTCTTAAGCAGTCAGTGTCAGACGTGTATGCAGTACTTGAAAAAAAACAAACAACTAAGTAAAAGTAAAAATACCTTAAATCAAAGTAAGTAGAAAGTAAAAATATTTAAGGGTGTATTYACACCAGGAAAGTCCTTTGGTTCACTTGTTTGGTCCAGACCAAATAGCGAACTTTATTTTTTATTTTTTTTCCTTTGGTGTGGTTTGCATTGTACGGAGCCCGCGAGGGGACATGGGAATTTTTTTTCTGTTGCGTTCCAATGCAATGTCTTTGCGTTACCTCTCAATACTTTTGCGTTACCTCGCAAACTTGTTTTGCGTTCCCATGCAAAAGATTGTTTTGTATATGAACTGAATTAAATCAGACTTTTATTTTGAAATATCCGGTTGCCAAAACAGGATGTGTCGCCACAGTTCRTGAAATTGGTATTGATGTTGCGTGGCTGCACTGTGTTCAAATATGGGCATATGACACACATCCATGCGTAGCTGTGTGATATATTCATTCTGAAGCTGAATTAAAGCAGTAGGCTAACTCGCTAATGGTGAACATGTGAGTTTGTTAATAAACTGGCAGGCACAACAGTGATAAATGACTTTTGCGAGGGAACGCAAAAGAAGAAAAATCTCCCGTCCCCTCGCGGGCTCCGTAGCAATCACATTGTGCTTTTAACAACCGGACTATAATTTATTAAACAAAGCCAGCAGGTGACGAAACAATGATGCTGCTGTTAATACAACTGACTWTTAAGAACATCAAGAGCAGCTCATGGTTTCACGATGATATATTAATAATTTTGGCACAGCGATGTCAAATGTGTGCCACAACCTAAAATGGTAAATGGACTGTACTTATATAGATAGATATAAGAGAGACCAGATGCTCTGTGTTCTCTGACCCACAGCAGCTCATTGTTTGTAGCGTAGCGTTAGCTTTAGCAACACTGGAGGGATAATGCTTAGCTTCGGTAGCCTGTGGAGTCAAAAAAGAAGCACGTTTCCTGTATTTGGTTTGATTTGAGGCTGGCCTGTATTCACACCAGAAAAGAACTGCACCAGAGTTCATTTGGAAGCGGACCGAGACCACCTCAAAAATGGGTCTTGGTCCGGTAGTTTGGTCCACACCGGGGTTCACAAGTTTATTCACACCTGCATTAAAGATCCGGACCAACGGGGGAAACAAACTCTGSTCTGTTTGAAGTAGACCAAACTCGTTACATGATGCGTTCTAGTCATATTTAACTTTGTAACAAGTAAGRAGTGTTCAATTTTAAAGTATAATTGAAGTATTGTAACAATGTAAACGTACTTTGTTATTATATACCTCTGGTGACATGAAGAGCAATGAGGTTTACTGACTAGAGATGGCTTGCACACTTAACAAGATTGACCGCTGTGGTACGAGTGAAACCCCATATTGGAGGAGGGCAGACTTCAGTGGCTGTGTCCACATTCAGGTGCTGTGTCCTTAGAGTGACCCGGTCTACTCGGTCTAGGTGGGCTTGGTCCTTTGTTGACCGTGAAGAACTGGCTGTGATTTGGGACAGTCTAGCCCAGGGGTGGGCAGTCTGACTGCCGCAATCCTGGTCCTCGAGGGCCGCAGCCCTGCATGTTTTACATGTTTCTSTGCTCCAACACACCTGATTCAGTCACTGAACTACCTCTACCACGTCCTGCAGTCCTGTTGTATGGAGGACTGAAACTGACATAATTAGAAATAAAAGCAGAAATAGATAAATGAACCTTTAAATAAATAAATACTTTTCAAATGCACCAAATAAATTAAAAATGAGAACTTTACCTCATGTTTTATATTTTAAATCGACCTTCATTTTTATTTTTCCAGCTTAGTTCCAATAAATTATATATTTTAAAACAATTTAAATTTTAATGTTTTTTAATATATATTTTACATAGTTTTTCCTTTTATTTGTACATTTATTTTTGTCTCTTGAATGCTTAAATTGAATTATTTTTATAATTTTGTCAAACAAGTCTTTTTATTTCTGTGTTGCATGCTTGTGCTGCCGCAGTTTACCTTAAAGTTTAGTTAAAAATAAATGCACAAGTACTGTTTTCCTCCTTGCCTTTGTTTTAAACTAAACTTTAAACTCGTAGCTAAACTGAGGCAGCACAAGCATGCAACACAGAAATGAAAAGACTTGTTGGAAAAAATATAAAATAATTAAATATAAACATTTAAGACACACAAATGCATGTACAAGTAAAAGGAAAAACAATTAATATATATTTAAAACAGGAGATAAAGTTCTCCTTTTTTAATTTAGTTGGTGCATTTTAAATGTATTTATTTAGTGGTTCATATAATTCTGCTTTTATTTCTAATTATGTCAGTTTTGGTCCTCCGTACTGCAGAAGCCTGATAATCATCTGTTCATTCATATCAGGTGTGTTGGAGCAGAGGAACAAGTAAAACATGCAGGGCTGCGGACCTCCARGACCAGGACTGCCCATGCCTGGTTTAGCCTGCAGCTCTATTCCCAGCCTTACCCCRGCGTACGTCCTGTCACCTAGCATCCATTCAGTTTTTAAACTGCCTGATTTTTATTGAAAACTGTTCGAGGGTAAGAGGAGGACACATTAGCTGGCTGTAAGGAGGAGCCTTTGAGTTTGGACAGCCTTTGGAGCATCTCTGTGACGCAATCGACCGACAAATTCAGCCTTSGAATTATGACTGATGAGGATAAAGGTGTGAAGTATTTATTTAAGTGTTTTGTGTTTCAGTTAGCTCAGTTTATTTAAAAAGCCTGGCATGTTAGGGAAGAGGACATATTTTGTTTAAAKAAAGTTTAATGTCTGTGTGCTGTTGTGAATATGTGTGTCTTGTAAGCCTGTGTAGGGCTGAGCACCTTTTAGGTGTATGACACATGAAATAAAAACTCTCTAAACAATTTGATTTATTTGTAGAATTGTATATAAAAGTTGTTTTTATTGGTTAACATCTGCCTGTTATAAACATGTGTACCAACATGGTTTTACCTGATATGATAATATTTTACAGACAAACATTTCTAATAAATCAACCCTGGCTGTCAGTAGCAAACTGAGTGTCCCTGATGTGCTGATGTAAACKTATCATGGTTACAACATTCAGCTTTACCAGCTGAACACTGCCTGTTCAGTTGTCCTCACTCCAAACAATATGGCCGCCCTCTCTGACCATGAAAAGTCACGTGATTGCGCCTCATCGCACAATTAAAAATCATAAAACGCAATGAAAAGTGCTTTAACAGGCTGCAGTACTTCATTATCTCCACTAGATGGTGTCGTCTCCTTACGTTGCACAAATCTGTTTCTGTCAGATCTTTCATATCAAACAAAAAATAGCTACAAATCAGTAAATTTTGCAACGACTGAGCTAAAACCATGTGTTAGCAGCAGAGAGACATTCACAACACTCTGAGGTTTAGAAACTATGAGGTTTCATCAGGATCAGGTTTTTTTTTAAATATTCATTTTAGATTTAGGTGTTAAAAATCTGCACATACTTAAGTGTTCCCATCTGGAGCCTCTCAGAGCTGGAGTCAGCCGCTAACATCTCCACACCAAATGAGCCTCGTCACTTCTCAGTATTTCATGGCCCTCATAACGCAGAGCCGGTCGTTACGGGGAGGACATAAAATCACACGGGTGTTTTAAAACTGCACTTTGTCAAAGCAGATTATTAGCTTGTATTATCTGAACAAGATCCTGGACATGAAGGTTTACGTATGCTTGTCACAACTTTAGCACACAAGTTTCTAATCCCAGTGTTACAGTTTTTAATAAACTGTTCATCATCTGGATTAAATTTTTTTGACCAAATATCCCTGTAACTAATCTTCTGTCAGCTGGAATCTATGCAGAATAAAACACTTTCTGCTTCTGTTGTATTTTTGAGTCAGATGTAACATAATTTCATGAAGTTATGAAAATTATGTAAAAAAAAGTAGCTTTTAAAGAGACATTTTAGAGGATTTAAAATGAAGTCAGGAGGAAAAGTTAACGAGCTCATGAACACAGAGCAAGACAGCTTTTTATATTTCATTTTGACAACTTAAAACAGTTTAAATCTTTCACTGTGGTTCATGCAGGCAACATTATTTAAACCTTTACACCTGCTGTATATGTTCTCTGCATGCATGTGTGGGTTTTCTCTGGCTTCCTCTCACAGACCCAAACATGACTGTTAGGTTAACTGGTAACTCTAGATTGTCCCTGAGTGAGACAGTGAATGGTTGTTTGTCTCTATGTGTCCCTGTGATGGACTGGACACCTGTCCAGGGTGAACCCCACCCCTCACACAGTGACTGCTGGATGTGGGCACCACCAGTGACCCTGAAAGGAAGAAGCAGGTAAAGATAATGGAGGGATGGTTTCACTGCTATTCCAGTAGAAGAAAATGATCCTGCTGGAAGTGCCCACAGACAACACTGTGCTGCAAATATCCACATAATTCTATGTAAATACTTGTGAAAAGGGAAAAGGATGGGGTGCAAATTTATGAATATAAATGCAGATTTTACAGACTGGAGCTGTTTTCTGGAGAAAGTCATCCACTTTGGTCCTGGCAGCATTAGGACCAGCTGTTAGCTCATCAGTCCTCTCAGACTTAGGAGCTATTTATACAAAAGAGGTATTTTGTGTTTTTTTAAGTTATTGTTTTAGATCTGCATCCATGTGAAAATTGTGCTTTAGGAGCACAGAAAACTGTATTTTTAAAAGGGAAAATATTATGTGTTTCTCATGCATATATTTAATTTCTATACTAAAATAAAGTATCTATGTCACCTTCAGTTGTTATTAAAATGCTGTTTATATGTTTAAAAAGAAAATAAACTTGACTTCTCATCATATCTGTTTCTAAACACCTTGAAATTGGCCTCTGTCTCTTTAAGAACCTCCTTCCCCTTCTGCCCCGCCCATTTCAGCACGTCATCACAGCCGCTTCTC